TGTAGTGAATAAAATACAGGTAAGCATCTCCCCAGTATTCTTTTAGCCAAGATCCATTTGACATCAACAGTGATATCCCATCTTCCACGTCCTCTTTTGAATCCAGCTTGAATGTCTGGCAGTTCCTTGTCAATGTCCTGCTGCAACTGTTTTTACTTATCTTCAGCAAAGTTTTACTTGCATGTGATACTAATGATATTGCTTGATAATTTTCATATTCTGTTGGGGCATCTTTCTTAGGAATGGGCACAGATAGGGATCTCTTCCAGTCAACTTGCCTGGCCAGGTAGCGATTTTCCAAATTTCTTGGCAATAATTGAGTGAATGCTTCCAGTGCTGTATCCGGTTTTTGAAACATCTCCATGGACATTCTGTCAGTTCCTGGAAGCTTGTCTTTTACCAAGACCTTCAGTGCAGCTTGGACGTCTTCCTTCCGTACCTCGAAATGGCTCAGCCTGAAATGGTTGACTGTCACCCAGTTCTGTTGGTACAGTGACTCAGTGGATTCCTCCCATCTTCTTTTGATATTTCCCGTGTCAGTATTTTTCCCGTTGAATCCTTGAATATTGCAACTTGAGGATTGAATTTTTTCTTCCGTTTTTTCAGCTTGAGAAATGCTGAGCATGTTCTTCCCTTTTGGTTTTCTAACTCCAGGTCTGTGTGCATTCATTATAATGTTTTACTTTGTCTTCTCCAGATGCCCTTTACACTCTTCTGTTCAGCTCTTTTTAAAATAATACCATATATATATGATTACTGCTAATCTCCCTGGAAGCCCTGAACCCGGCGAAGCCTGTACAGTCCTTATTCAGAAGATGCTTCCGTGCTTTGATGTGATATCCGTTCAGACTGGGTGCTGCCAGCTTCCCACCCATTGCAGGGGCATCACGGCTCCTAAACTGAGAAAAGCTATCAGGCCCCAGAACAGATATTCTCTTGGTGATTTAGTTTGTCACTGTAGCTATCCTGTTTTGATTCTGAAAATCAAGCTACTTTTATAACAACAGGAAAGCAGGGTTTTTTCTTTTTTTCCTCCTCCCCTTTTGATAAATGTCTTTGTGGCACCTTAGTTTTCAATTACGTCTTTTCGGCACCTTATTTTTTAATTATGTTGTTTCTTTAAACGGGCCTTAGGTATACTGATCAGTTAGCCATAATCCTTGGTTCCTGACACAGTGGTATCATAGGTTCATCCATGTACCTTCTTAGCTAATTAGTTTGTATCTTTGTTAATTATGATCTAATCAATTATGATAATATAATGAGCACTGATGAGTTCATCGTTTATCCGAGAACTTCACCTTCACGCAGCTCACGTCTGCTGTGTGCCCCCTCCTGTCCCGTCCCTGCCTCCATCCCCACAC